ATAGACAGGTATGGGGCATTGCTGGCTAACAAAGAAGCCAAATGACACCCATTCCAAAGGGGGGGACCCGTTCATCCGTTTCTATTTGCATGTTTGTACAAAAAAACCCAAAAAAACAAGGTTTTGTTGGGCTACTGGATAAAGCTGTACTTGTGACAGTGCAATGACAAAAAAAAAAAAAAAAAGATGCTGTTTCATCACTGAAATGTAAATGATTGGAAGCTGAAACAGAGATCCTCCCCCACTTTTTAGTGATGTTTTTCATCTTTTCACAAAGATGGCTTCCTTGATGCCTCTTTCAAACATCTGTTTTCTCTGTCCAGAATCTGGTTACTTTGGTCTTTAAAGGTGTGTCCCTTTGTTTTGTAGGGTTAACTGTACATCTGAATCTTGCCCTTAGCTGCTGGCCCTCCTATGCTGTGCTATTAATTCTTTTTTTAAGCCTTTGGAAGGTGAGGACAAATATATTAGCATGTGGCAGTGCTATAGTATTGGTTTCTCTGTTTGTAATTGGGCAAAATATCTGACCTATGTCCAGAAACTGACAATTGATCTAAGATGAGAGAAAATAGACAAAGAGATGAAAATATGTCCTACTCTGTGTTTGGTTTATCAGATAAGACTGCAAACACTGATGATGACAAACGCTAATGTCTTTGTTTGTGCTTACCCTAAGATTGTCTTTCACCTTTTGTTTTACAAACTGATAGAAACGTATCAGTCTGTATGGCAGTACTCATTTCACTGTACAGAAAAAAAAATACTTGCTTTTACCCATCGCTCCTTGGAACAAGGACTGAGTTCCAATGCGACTTGCAGTTCTTGATAAAACATGCTTTTTTAAAACTTAAATGTGGCCTTGATCTAGAAAGGAAGTGGTTATAAATTACAGTAGAAGAGCAGTTTTAAATAATTAGATTCCATTTATCAACATATTCATCTGTTTGTCCTCATTTCTAAATCTAGTGTGAAGGACACGCATAGTTAAGAGAGGAAAAATGAAAAATGGGTGTAGAATGATGCTAACCGCTTTAGCCAGAATTGTCACTTCCATCGTTAATTTCATTACCTTGCTAAGATTAAACAGAGGAATGAAAGCCAGGAGGAGGAAGAGAAGGATCCAGTTCAAGCAGAACCATCTTAGTGAGTGCAGAGATTATTCAGTATTACATTTCACTGTGCCGCGTACTGTTTCCCAGCCTGCAAGTTAAATGGAAAGACTTTTATGATGCAAATGCAGGCAGCAGTGATAAATCTCTCCTGCTCTCTTCTCCTGAACTCCCCTGATGCAAAACGATGTGCTCTCTCTTTCTCTCCTTCTTTCTCTTTGACTCATTGGCACAGTCACTCTTTACCACTTGCTCGCTTTCTTCCCTCTGCAGCGTTCTGTTACACTCGCCCTCAGGCCACATGAAAAATGAATCAGACCCAGGTGACGCGGTGAGGGAGTGTTAAAGTGAGGGTGCGGCGAGTAGGAGAGGGATAAATGAGAGCCAGAGACCCCAAAAAGTAAGACTTTGACTTTCCTGGACAACTTCTAGGTCACCCTGATGGGCAACATGAAATACTTACAAAGATATGCAACACGCACAAACATCTGCAACTATGCCATCAGATAATATTAGTTTGCTTTCTACTCAATCATGAGTGCAGACAAGTATTTCAATAAGAAGCAAAAGAAAACAATCTATGTGGTTATTTGCCTTGAAGATTCAGCATAGTCACTTTATCTGGAATAACTTTTAGAGTATTTATTCCAGTTGGGTAAATCATACATCAGGGGTCTTCAATGTTTTCCAGGCTAAGGACCCCAAACTGATGGTGATGGAGCGAGGACCCCCTAATTATATATAGTATGAAAAACTGTTCTATCAAACTGGTCCTATAGTCACTCTATTACAGATGGAGTAATGTAACTAAAGTAATTTCTCCCTGGGATCGGGGCGGAGCTAGATGGGGGGCCAGGGGTGGCCATGGCCCCCCTTAGCCAATCATTGGCCACCCCTTCTATTTTTTCCCTTTCGAACACAGATGATGGCAGCAGTAATACTCAAGTGGATTATTTTAAACATTTTAATTTTTCATATATTAATGTGGTTAATTATCCACATTAATAAACTAACATTAAAGTAATAAAAACAGACTTCATGCTCTTTTCAGAAATAGATTTTGTGTTTTAAAGGGTAAAGAGAAAATTGTGTGTCTCTGCAAGTCATCTAGGAGTCTTCAGTGAAACTGTTGACAACTATTTTTAATAAAACGTGTTAAATAATCAATTTATGTAGATATTAGTAGTAGTAAATATCAGTTTTATGCTGATTATTAATAAATGTCGGTAAGTAATACCAATGGAAAGGATGTTCTCCCAAAACTCTAACCTGAAAGAATCCACTATACCTTTTATCTAGAAAGCACAGATTTTTAAATATTTATGCGTCTGTTTGTCAGCAACTGATGTAGGAAATTATAGTTTGTCTTTATTTAGCAAATATAGATGTTGTGCTTCTTAATTTTCCTGTTCTAGATTGAACCTGAGGTTCTGGCGCCTATCAACTTTCGGCCACCCCTCAGTGTACATTGGTTATTGCCTGGCCACCCTCATAAAAATTTTCTGGCTACGCCTCTGCCTGGGATTATTAAAGTATTTCTGCTTCCTGGTTGATGGGACAGGTGTTGTGAATGAAACGGTGTCCAGCTTGAAAGAGCTCCTGTGTGTGTCTGAATGTGAGCATTGATGACTGAAAGACATCTTCTGCCTCCATTTATCTGTTTACTACAGTCTGTTGGATTCATGTTCATGTGGATTTAAAGACATTTCAGTTGGTGGAAAAAACTGCATTAGGGAATATATAAAAAAAAAGTCTAATCAACCAAAACTTTCTCGACCCCCATGCAGTACCTCAGTGGACCCCCTAGTGGTCACGGACCCCCTGTTGATGACCTCCATCATACATCATACCACATAAACTCAGTGCTGCATCCACACATGGCAACGATGCTGCTGTTCAGACTAAAGATAAGAAAATGACCCTGAAGTTGGCGTGATGTCGGTAGCGAGTGCGCTGCTCAGAGGAGCAAAAACTGATGACGAGTTAAACTTTTTACACGCAGCCTTAAAAATGTACAAACAAGAGAGAAAAGTCCAATTGTGTGAAAACTGCACTGTTGATGTCAGAAGAAATAAAGTAGAATATTTCAATATTTCAATAGCTAACTATTCCTCCTCTGTCTCTTTTCATGGCCTTTTCCAGCAGAAACATGGATGATGTCACCGAGTTCAAATGTCAAAGCTTGAACGTGACGCTAAATTCACCTTTTCCAGGGTCCACCAAGTCAAAGCAGCCATAACTAACAGAACTTCTGTTTGACATTGTGACTGAAAAATGTGCATAATCAATGCTATCCTTTCTATATATTCTAAATTACATGAGGAACGGCACTCTGGAAGCTAAGGAATGAGGAATTAGGGCCCTTCTGAAAAATATAAAGGGTCCAACCGTGTACCACCAGCACACTGGGCCTCTTAAAGGGGCCTTTAAATGCCACTAACCCAAACACCTTAGCCTAATTCAGACAAAGAAACTAAACAAGTGTTTTTAATCCGTGTACGGTTCGTTCTTTGGTTTTTTCATTTCAAAACAAAAACGAAAACACAAAACAAGCATGCGGTTTTTCTGTTTTTCCGTTTTTTAAAACCTCCATCGAAAAAATTAAAAATCGAATTAAGAGAAAATCAATAGAGTTTGCCATCTAAATGAATGAATGTTGTTGTTTTAATAAGTAGCGGAACCGGAAATGAAGTAAGTCGCAAAAGAAAAATCATTTACAGTGGATGAAGACGGCATCAAAACAAACCATTTCCAAACAAAAGGCAATGGCGGCACTTCAGCCGTTTTCTGCTTTGATTATTGACTTTTTGAGAGAGGAAAAACGCTCTGAAATCAGTGATGCTTTGAGCCGCCATGGAACGCCACATCACTCGGTAATAAGTGTCAGGTTTTGAATGGAGCACAACTGTCGAAGATGCAACAACGTGTCGGACGCCAACAGATCATTAGCTCGCAGTGAAATGCGCCGATTCCCTCTAAATAACACAAACGTTTCCATTTTGGTAGCGCTAACTGAAAAAGTTCTTCTTCTTGTGGATTGTAATGACAGTTGGCAAGAATTGAAGGCGTACATTACCGCCACCTACTGGTAACTAAAAAAGTTATGAGTTGGGAGTTCAGGTCTTCATTTCCGGTTCTGCCATAAAGTCCATTAAATTAACAACAAAATAAAAGTTTGTCTTTGGTTTAACCATTGCAGTTAAAAAAAATCGTACCCTTTTTTCAGTTTTGCAAATGCCGTTTTTCTAATTTCGTTTTAGAAATGAAAAAACAAAAAACCACATGCTTGTGTTGTTGTTTTCGTTTTTGTTTTAAAACAAAAAAAAAACAAAGAAGGAACCAAACACGGATTGTTTTGGGGATTTTTTTATTGTAAAATGACAAAATAAATAAATATGTCTAAGTTTAAGGAGAATTTAGAGAAGCCAATTAACCGTGTTGTTTTTAGATGATATAAAAATAATCGCAGCCCCGCCCCCCGTACAGGAGAGTGGAGGACGTTGTCTGGTCAGCCAGGCCAACAATCCCCTTGAAGACCAACCTTTTAGACATTTAGATCTGCATGGGGCGTTGCAGTCTGACAAAATGAGTCAAACGACCCCCATTCCAAAGGGGGGGACCCGTTCATCCGTTTCTATTTGCATGTTTTCTAAACTAAAACCAGGCTTTGTTGGGCTGCTGGATGAAACCTGGAACTAAACGTTATTTCTGACATTTTGGATTGAAAAAGCTTCCTGGATGGAAGAGAAACGTCTTCTAACTTGGAAAGAAGTCCAGTGGATTGTTTTTAATTTTCTTTTTATGGAAGAACTATGACCTGGAAAAAAAAATATTAAAGTATTTTAGGAAAGAAATCAAAATCCCATTGCTCTGCTTGTTTTTTCCCCACAGGGAGAGCTTGTGGATGTCCAATACGGCAGTGTGGAAAATTTGAGAAGAGCAAAAGACTCCCTGAACCTCACAAACCAGATTGCTGTGGTCAAGCTTGGTCAAGCACCTTTATTATATAAGGTAAGAACAATATAGAGCCGCCGGCTGCAGGATTCAGCTGATAAGAGCTTCATATAAATGATTTAAGGTTTATTATTTGGATATTTGCCATGAGCTGGACCAGGTTTCTCCACAATGAAAAACCTGCTTTAATCTTTAGATATATGTTAATAACTCAGAAATATATACAACTAACAAAGAGGTTGATGGTTAATCGTTCATCCCTGTATGCAGCCAGATGCTCGTGGAATATTTTACCTTCAACCATAGTGTAAAAAGTATAATATCCTATATCTGCCACTCCTCAGCAGGATTCCTTTGGCATGCTAGGAAACAACATTAGCTGTGCTTTGATTGATTAGCCCTATTTCCTCTTGGATTCTTTCCAAACTCAGAGCAGTTTTGCCATAAATTAGTATATGTCAAGAAAAATAAGGATTTCAATCCAGCTAATTAAAACATAAACGCCTACTTGCACATTAACTGCTCATAATTCTGCTTCGTGTTCCTTTCAGTCAAAGCTAATTTATTCACACCAACCTGGATGCAAACCCTGAGATGACGTTAACAATAATTGAGGATAGAAACTCCATCTACTGGATAATTAAAGGTTTTACTGCACCAGAAATGTGTAATAAATTCAATTATCTTAATCACTTTTATGTTACAATTAATTAAAAAAATACATCTGAATTCACAAATCAAATAAAGCAGGTCATCTTGTAGAGTAAAATACTCCTCCCTGCTAAAGAGACTCCTTGCAGTGAATGGAGGCCATCAGAAAAGCTAAAGAACTTGTGATAATGATGGTGACTATACGTAATTTGCTTATACACATTCAGACTTTTTATAAAACATCACACGGAACCTTCTGGAACATGTAATCATGTTCTGCCAAGAAGCTGTTGAGCCATTTGTTCATCTTTAGCTAGTTTGTGACAGATTTGATTGTGTGCTGCTGCTGCCGCCTCTGGCTGGGAGAAATGGCCGCCCTTTACGTACAAGTGGGGGAAAAATGATTGATGAGCCTTGAACTCTCACTAATGAGTGTGTGATGGTGACGGAGGCTCCAGCGTTGCACGGGTAGAACCACGCTTGGCAAAAACAAGATGCTTCTGTTTGTCTTCATGGTTAAATCACAGTTAGGTGAAATTAATTCAGTCATAGGAGAGAATATTCACATTATATAAAAATATGCGGTGGGAGGTGAGTAGAAGTTTTCATCCAGTTAATTAGAAGGTCTTTAGTTAATTAATCATAATGAATCACATTTTAATCGACAAAATAAACCACCTTTTCAGTTAAAAAACCCTTTGCTCCTCAATTATTTAATAATTTAATATATGGGCATAACAATGTTTATATTTATTGCTTTTAATCCAACTGTTTGTTATTAATTAAAGAATGGTTGAAAATAATGTTTCAGCTTTTTTGTTATATAACTTATAACCCCTGATTTTTTATTTTTTTGCAATTTCTTTGAAAAACTATTTTCATAAAAGAGTGAGCGGCAAATAAACATTAAACACAGGAAAATTATTTCCACTAACTGGTAAAAAAAATATAAGCAGCAAAGCATAAGATCCTGACTGTAACAATAAAGTTTGATTCTTAATCCTGACAGAAATGCATAAAGATTTGCATTTAGGAGCTTAATAATTTAATGTGCAATTACAACATTTAGGCCATGGACACTACTTTTTGTCATTAAGCCAGTTTTTAACACAAATGATCTATGTTCCTGGTCCTAGTTTCTTCCTAAGTGGAAGCAGTATTTGGACAGCGCTTATTAGGGTGACTGTAGATGTGCTTAGATATTAATATGGATTTAAGGTATTAGGATGGAGCTACGGTCTTTAAGCTTAAATATCCTCAGCAGACTGACGTCGGTGATGCAGCTTGTGCGTCAGATTTACAGGTGTACAAGAAACAGGGAGTAGAGTAAAAATGTTCCTGCTTGGAACTAAAATGCAGCTAATTCCATTCATTATTATAATGTGTTACCGTCTCAGCCCTATTAAAAATATTTAAGCTGTAGCTCCTAATGTTTCACGCTCTTTTTTCAGAATGCTGATAAAATGAGACCACTCCTTTTCTCAATTCATCTTTTTTTTTCTTAAAACGGCAACTGAAAAAAAAATCTGTCATAGTTAGTTATAGATAAATGTTTATTAACTTTGTTGCTAAAGTGTTTTAACATCTCAAAACACATACGCTGAAAACACCATCAGAGCACTTTTTAGTTGAGGTGTAAGATGCAGAAGCTGCTCCTGCCTCTAGTGGTCGCTGGTTCAAATCCCAGTTTAGCTGTTGTGTCCCTGAGCAGGACTGTTCATCATGTTGAGAATGTTTATAGTTCCTGATCGTGCCTGTTTACCTTCTTTCTGCCAGCGTGCCCCAGTGCAGCCGTGGCTACAATCACACAGCATGGGGTCGATCTGATTGTCAATAAATCCTGTTAAAAATGAAAATTATTGTGTGTTGTTAAATTTTGACTCTTTACATTAGCGTTAGCTAAATGCAGCTTTGATAAGAACATCTTAGACACTTTTAAACTGTTAAATTTAACTTCCCGGGAGATTAATAAAAACTTCCACCATTGCTGTGTGCACTCTTTAGATAAAGGATTAGATAAATTAAACTGCTAAAAGGTTGCAGTCAGGATAAAACTAAAATAATTTCACAACATTATGACATAAAACGGGACAGATGGACCCAGTATTCATGGTGAGACAGTCAGGAGGAGAGTTCAAAACGTTTATTAAAACCAAACAGAACTGATCCAGAACATAAACGGGCTGCTGTGGATCTGTGGACCTGCAGCGACCGCGGGGAAAGCTGGGCGGGGTCCACGGTAGGTGGGTGGGGTCACTGACACTCTCTGTTTTAACAGTTCAGTCCATTCCCTGCGTGGAAGGCAGGATTTATCCGATGGATGCAGCGCAGAGCTGTCCAGGGTGTCCCCTATCAGAGCTAACAGGAGACCGATCCTGGTCAGAACCGGACCGTTCTGAGCTCCAGGACTCCTCAGCTCGATTAGCAGCTCTGATCCACACAGGAACAGACAGAAAGGGGTTCCAGGCATCCACAGGGCGCTCAGGTCGGTTCAGAGCTCCAGAGCTGAGCACCAGAAATGGAAATATAGATTTGAAAAGTTTCAAAGTAATATCTGCTGTTTGATCTGATGACAGTAAACCTAGAAATAAAACCTAATTAAAATTCTGATTTTGTGGCAATATAAGCAATTTGCTTTCCTGCAATTAGTATTTTTCAAACATAAATCCAGACCCTGAAAATCAAATGTATAAATCATCAAACAGGCTACAGTTGAACACCGGAGCCATGATTTAGTGCAGCTGTGTGTTACAGAACACAATAATTGCATTTAATCATATTTCATTTATGCTAATCATTATTGATAGAACAGCAGAAAAGAGGAAATCTCAACCATGCTGGCAGTTTTGTTGGTGAACAGAGATAATGAATTAGAAGGAATCATTATCACAATTACTTATATTCTTATAACAGTGATTCTTTCATCCATTGATGAAAAATGATGCAGAAACTGATACATCCCTAATTTCATCACAATGCAGCCAATAGCATGAAAGACGGACTAGATCCTGCTGTTATATAAGGACTGGTTGGCCAGTAGGTAGAGTAGCTTAAGCCACAGTACCAGAATTAAATAACATTCATCTTATTCTGATGAAAATGAGAGAGAGGAAAAACTCCCTTTGAACAGGAAGAAACCTCCAGCAGAACCAGGCTCAGAATAGAGATATTCTCCCACTCCTGGCTTCCTAGTTCCACTTATCTTTACAAAATGATAAATTCCTCCAGTCATGTAAAAAATTTTTTAGATATTTATGCTCTCATGAAACAGCTTGGCAAAATATGACTTGTTCCCTTATGGCCCACTTCACTATTCCACATCTGTATCTGTTTTAGTTTCTTCGTGGCATAGACTCATGATTTATCTTTGGTCTATTCATAAATGACAAGATAATTGATCTATTGCTGAAGCACAGTTAACTCATTAACATGTTAAAACTGTAAAACTGTTTCACAAGGTGCATTAACCTGCCCACACATTGGCCAAATTCAACAATAATATTTATTTATGCTACGGTCCTAAAGCATGCATGCATTGTACCAAGAGATGCTCTACACCAGGGGTGGGCATATCCAGTTCCTGGGGGCCGGTATCCTGCATCTTTTAGATGTACTTTTGGTTCAACACACCTGAATCAAGTACTCGGATAATTGGGAGGACTCTGCAGGAACCGACTGCATACTGAGGAGGTAACGCAGCCATTTGATTCAGGTGTGTTGGACCACGGATGGATCTAAAAGTTGCAGGATACTGGCCCCCAGGAACTGGAATTTCCCACCCCTGCTCTACACCATCACACCAACAGCTGCAGCCTGTGGGTGTCTGCCACTCTGACCTCCTCTAGGTCTGCGTTGGATCCTGGAGGGCAAGTCTGACGCTCCTCATACCTGCTATTCCTGTAATTAAAGCACTCTGACACACATACAGGTGTTTGGATTCAACAGATGCTTCAAATATACTGATATACTCTCTGTGCTGCCGCTAAGTACCTGTTGTATTATTTTGTTAAACGGGGAACAGCCTGGACTCTACCTGCATATGTTATGGTTCTCCAGTTCTGGAATTCTATTTGAGTTTCTTTTTGAGTTTTCAGTCGTTTATTTCATTCTGTTTTGTCGATCATTGGATTTGTTTCCATTTTTGTTATATCTAAGCAGAGTTACTGTCTGTTGCCTCCTTGTGCCGGTCTCCTCCTAGCTTCCTTCTAGTTACTTCTATCCACACCTGCTCCCTATCATCAGGAAACAGATTTCTCATCTCCATCAAAATATGTATCTTACTTCCAAGAGCGAATCTTACAACTTCAAAACAAACTTCTCATCTCAGGCCTTGATGAAGTGATCCTGAGTTTGGAGGTAAAGAACAAACATAGTTCAGACAAACCATGGAGGATCCTAGTTATCCCTGTTACAAAAATAAAGAAAGTATTTGAAACTGCAGATATGCTGGATGCTGGAGGGGATTTTTTTTATGTCATATTAGATTGATTTCTGCATGTTTTGCTCCTATGAATTTAATAATAATATTGTTCATGCTCTCCTTGAGCTCCGAGGAAGTCTGAGCAGAGCAGGACGGGAGGAACAGCAGAGGCTGTAGGCTTTGCTTTGCGCCGACCGTCTGGAACTGAGAGGGGCGGTGACGGAGGATGTGGGATTCCGGGTTAAAGCTCTTTAGTCTACATTCATTCTTCAATCAATCACTTATTCAGGCATATATTCACACACTGATGGTGGCAGGCTGCACTGTAGCCACAGCTGCACCGTACAGAAACACCACTGGGTCTGACTACCATCAGCTCTGTATATTTTTCAGTGATAATGTTTGAGATCATCTGAAATGATCTCAAATTACTTTCTAATCAGTGTTTTTATGACTATATCCACTGGAGCGTTATAGAAGGCTCCACTTGTGAAAGTTTATCTGTTGAGCTTTTCCTTGTCACTCAAATAACTATTCTGAGGACAATTTACTGGACAGGACAGAAAAAAACAAAAACAAAAAATCAAAAGAGCTTTGATGTATGTTTCATTCATGTTATTATTTTCCTATTTAGTTCATTAATCTTTGTGGCTATTTTTTGTAGAATGAGTAAATTCTTTGTGTTTAGTTAATTGTCTTTGGTGTGTTGTTTCTTTCTTTTTTTTACTTTACTTTATTCCAGATTGACCATCAAGTGGAAACAAAACGATTATTCTTTATAAATCCAAAGCTTACAAATTTTCCTCCATGTGAGCTTTTAGTTGTGATGAAGTTTCAGTGGGAATTTAAGGAAGAAATGTAAAGTAGCTGATTTTACTCATCATCTAACTTTCTTCACCTTCTACCGGTCCTGGACGACCTCCGTCATTCTATGGGGGTGTGGCCAACACCTTTACAGCCTCTACTTTGGGGTAGCTGATGCCTCCACGCCATCTTGGATGAAGTTCTCCAGATGCTCTTCCTTCGCTTACTTCTTCCATGTTCTTTGAGCAGGAGGTTTCATCCAATATATATAATCAGGGGGTCCCCGCTCCATCTCGCCATCAGTTTGGGGGTTCTTGGCCTGGAAAACTTTGAAGACTCCTGGTTTAGATCCTTAACAACCTCCAAACTTAGCAGGAGCGAAAACTGTTGATACGAGGCAGGACAGGTCCATGATTTCATGTTTTTTCAGTTTATCCTTCCCTTACTGTCTGAATATCACAACTGTAATGAAGCCTAATCAGACTAGGCAGCGTTTTTAACTCTCAATAAAACTGTAAAATCAGTAAAGCTCGGCACAGATTTAGTTACGACTAGAAAGAAATGATTGAATGGAAATTATCAATTCAACTTAAATTAGACTGCAGAGAAATCTGCTATAAAACTATATTTTCAAATGATAAATATTTTCAGACAGATCCATGCTTAACAGGGTTTGAGTTGCAAATGTATAAAATACAGGCATCAGTTTTCTTCTAAGCCGCTGATATTGCCTCTGTTCCCTGCATGCTCGTTGTGTTATTTTAGTGAAGGACAGAGATGTAAAGTGTGCAGAATGACCGTGGCTGGTCTAACATATTCCATAAAACTGTTATCAACTCCATAAACGAAAAAAACAACAACAAACAAACAAGGACAGATCATGTCCTGCTGACAGCTGTAAAATACAGCTCTGTTGTTTTAAAACCAAAACATTTTTACTGGCTTAAATTCCTCATGTAAATCACAGCTTTAGGGGAAATGAACTCCATCATAAATTAACATTTAAAGATTACTTTAATCATCAGAAATCAGTTCAAATGTCTTCTGTTTTTTAACTTTTAAGGCTTGCTGTAAAAACACAAAATTTCGAAAATTTCGTTTTATTCGGCTCTCGTGACTTTTCCTTTTTCTTAGAGTGCAGCAGGGATCTAATGTAAACATTGTGGGAGAAAGAACATGGTGCAAAAAAACACATTGATATGGTGAGTTTGATACAGTCTGTGATATTATTTAGAGTTTTTTTTTAGGACCTGCATTGAATGCTGTGAAGCCTCTTCCCAGAGGGCAGCAGGGAGAACAGTCCATGGTGGGGGGGTGAGGGGTCATTGATGATGTCACGGGCTCGGGACACGCAGCGCTGGGATGAAATGTTGTCAGAGATTGAACTAACAGATTCTGCAGAGTGGGAGAATAGAGATAGAATGATGAAAAATGGGTCCCCATGTCCTCCAGCAGTCTAAGCCTATAGCAGCAGAACTTTATAGTTGGAATACATTTTGAAACCAATTAGACTTTAATATTTTTACTTGATAATTTTATTTAACAGGAAGAAAAAGACATCAAGTAGGGAAGTAGGGAAAATGTGGCCATCATGGTTTTCTTTACACAGTTGAAAAGTGTTGGACTTTCACTTTAGATTTATGTGGGTTTTAAACAGCTTTCTTGTTGCTGTTTAGTTTTTTTCTAGGGCTTATTTTATGGTCCTTTCAATCTTTACACCCAAGTCCTTTTTGCTTCAATCTTTCAATGTGAAACTTTTCTTAATTTATCTTTAGTGGGCTGCATCAATATTTATGCACAATTTCCTTTTTCTATTTCAGTTCATATCCTAAGCTTTTATTTTCCAATGTGTAGAATATTTTTAGACCTTAACTTTCCCTCCAACGCCTGCCCTGTCATAAAGGAATGAATTAAATTTTAGTTTTGTTCTTTCAGACAAAAGAGAGATTGTTTAATCTGTTGTTTGGATGAATAATTGCCTCCTTAATGTTATTTGTCTCGCAGCTGTCGCTCCTTTCTGACTTTGGTTTCCGAGGCGTTCTTCTTTACATCGATCCCTGTGATGCTCCGCCTGGCCGAAGCTTTAGGCATGAGGCCTTCAGGGTTACCTTAAATCCTGGAGGAAACCCCTCCTTTGGTAAGGGACTAATTCTTTTCTTTCTAAATGTATCAGTAGAATATTATTCTGAATAGAATCAAATCATCTGAATTCTATTCTGATGATTCTTCTTTATTTTTGGCCAATTAATGGCCATCTAGGCTTTTTGTTTTTTCTTTCTTTTTCTTGTATTTTTTCATGGAAAATATAATTTATTGTCAAAACAATCAGGGAGGTAAATGTTGCCATGTTGCTGCAGCAAACAGCTTCCTGAGCGCATCTTGTCCATAAGTGGATTGTGTATTTGAGTAATAAGTGAAAAGCAAAAGCAAAATGTCTTTAACCATAAAAATAACGCTATATAAATGAAACAATAAATAAAGTAACTGGTTTCAGGGCCTGATTGATAAACATATGAGAATGGACTCTTCTAAACTGGTCTGAGACGTGTTATGGCCTCACTTTCTGGACTTTTTTTCTTTTACTTGCTTTGTGTTGTTTAATGTTCTTCTCTAGATTTACAGATTTTTTGTATTCCTAGTTTTGCTCTTCCTGGTTATATCTTTTTCCTTCATAACTGCTGTTATATAATAACTATTGTTTGTTCCCCTGGTCTAGTTTCAGTTAGTTTTTTATCCTTAGGTTGTTTTCGGTCCCTCCTCTTATCTTGTAGTCCCTTAGTCATTCCTTATTTTTTTTAATCTTTAATTTATTTCCCTTCAGCCTTATTTAAGTTCTTTCTAGTTACCTTTATATCCTGCTGTTTCCTCTGATTCTCGCTGCCCCCTAGTGTCCGTTCCTTTCCCCTTTGCTCCTTCTAGCAGCTCTGTCCGCACCTGCTCCCTATTAGCTAATCAGTCCTCCCATTGTCTCCCATATATACACCGCCTGTACAGTTACTCATTGCTGGTTAATTCCTTCCTTTTGTCTCCTATTTTTTTGGTTCCTGAGTTTCTTGTTGATCGCTTGTGGACCATTATTTTACTTTATTAAATTTTGTAAGAAATCGTCTCTGCCTCCTTAGCTCTGCATTTGGGTCCACAACCACCATCCACTAAACTTGACAAGACAAACTTGTCTCATATAAGCTTAACATTTTATTGCTTATTTGATTCATTATGTCTTTGCAATTGAATTTAATATTTCTAATCATCAAAGGAATTTTATTTGTGGTTGTTTTGCAGTATCATTTAATTCTTAAGCTGAGCTGGATGTCCGTCGCTTCTGAGTATCAACAAAATCCATTATGAATATAGATACATTTAGGCATTTAGCAGACGTTTTTGCCCAAAGTGACTTACAACATAGCATTAGCATGAATATAGCCCCGTGTGCGCGGCTGTAGCTCTGTGGCGCAGGGTGACATAAAATCAAACATTTGACCCTTTCGTAAAAGAAAATGTTTATGGTCAAATAAAGTTATTACAAAAATAACCTTACATTTTGGAATTAATAAGGTTTTTTTCATATACCTAACTTTTTCGTCGGTGTGATAAAGATGCAACAAAATGACAGAACTTACATTTAAATGCACGCGGTTCCTCTGTCATCAGGCCACTGTTACATCATGCTGCCAAATTCCAGCGAGTCTGAAATTAATGCAGACTCTCTGTTTAAGGGCTGCGCATTCCACTGGCCTTACCCACTACGGGGTTTGGAATAGCACTTAATATGGCGAACCCTCGCCAGGAATGCGCATACAGAGGGTTAGTGCTCTTGGTTAATATTTAGGGGCCAAAGGGTCAATTAAGAAGGCAATTTTAAAAATATTTTTCAGGAAAAACTGGCATAACGTCTGTTTAAGTTACATTAGATTAGGCATTAAAATTAAAGCTGTAAATGGACCTGCCAGGACTGCCATGAGTTTGTAGTCGGTGTGTGAGTGATCTGATTATCAGACTGTGTGTATTATTGAGAGAAAAAGAGGGTGTTAAAATCTAATTTTGATAAGGGTCCCATGCAGGCTGGGCTGACCATGTGATAACAGTGTTTTCCTGCAAGAGACTAAGCATAAGAAGATGAGTTCACTGTGGAAGCTGAGGAATTTACACTATTAGCAACTATAATCCGGTTAGTAGTTGTGTTTAGTTTTCAGAGAAGAACCAAAGTGTGCCAAGAAAATATTCCCAGGCAGAGATCTAACTAAAAATAAACCAAAAAAAACAACTCCACTCATTTCTGATTGTGAAATTATAGCTCACACCTGCCGCAGGTTTCCTCCACAATCATCACATACTTTAGCTCCTAAAGCTTCGATCCAATTAGGAACAAATGTTGGGTTAGTTGTTACTCATGACTGCCTAAGATTAAACTTTATTTAATTTTAAAAGTTTTATATATAAACATGATTGATAATAAATACTGTAATATAGAAATAAGTCAAAATGTTTAAATGTAGCATATTTAAGTCAGTTTTTAAAGTGTTCTCTCACAGGCTCTCGTACCTTACCTTGGCCTCAGGCAGAGGACGGCGTATATTTCTCTCCGTTCTGCTGTATTTAAATTAGCCTCCCAGAATACTTGTCCTCTTTGACCCCAGTCCTGTCCCCACTTCCTGTTTTTATGCTGGGTCTGATCAGTAGGGATGTGTCATTACCACTCAAGTATCCTTGGTCCTTGTAATAGCCGGAGTGCCACAGTGTGAGGACCTAGTGGAACCCCGGCAGATGTCTGGAGCTGCTGTGTGGCGCATGAAGTGGGGGGGGGGTCCGTATTTCACTGGTAGAGAGACAGATGCTGGCTATCCCGTCAGATGGCAGGTTCCTCATCAAGGTTCTCGCTGTTAAAAGAGCTCATGAGACTAGAAAGATGTTAAAGGAGACTTCATTGCTCATATCTGCCAAAGACGGTTCAAAGATGGAGGTTACTTTCAGAAATTTCATTTAACAATTAACACAAAGAGAGAAGCTATGATTATGTCTTTATAAGGACTTTATCAGCGCATTTCTAATTCTGTTTCAAATTCACTGTACGTCATCTTAAGGCACTGAGACATTTCAGTCAAATCGCACAATCAGACTGGACTAAAAAGCCTGAGAGGTCCTGTTGGTTTTAAGTTTTTTTATCTAAACCAACTTTTATTGGCCAGTTCCCGTCCATTCATTACTAAGGTCCCTTAATGCCCCACAGCAAATAAAATGTACACAACTTAGAGTAAATGTTATACAAGATATTAATATGTATATATATATTTATATGAATTTGTATGTATAGATAGATAGATATATTAATATCTATATGTCTTAACCTATAGATGTTAAGACACGAAAGCTCCTAACCATCCATGGAGGGTACCACCCCAAATCCAGCACCCTGAGACTGTACGCCAGCCGTAAGGCAGGATGCTGAGGACTAATGAGCATAAGAACCACTATTCAGGCTGAAATATCCAAAATCCATAAGTAAATGAAGGACAAGGCTCCAACAGACGACATCCTCACTGAATGTCTCAGACAATGGGGAACAGAAGATGAGGGGCCAGAGACTCCGTCATGGGAGGATCAGCCCCTACACGGGATGTACCACCGGAGCATAAACCAAAGTGGCAGATATCAGGAAATCCTACCAATGTCTAGACAAAGCTGGACTGAAGGACAACACAGATGCACAGGAGCAGGCCCTAAGTACCAGAGCAATAGAGGCCCAGATCTACCACCCCAGGCAATACCCCAGGTGCAGAATGTGCAAAGAGGCCCCTGAGACAATCCAGCACATAACTGCAGGGTGGAAGATGGTGGCAGGGAAAGCTAACATGGAGCGCCATAACCAAGTGGCTGGGATAGAATACAGGAACATCTGTGCAGAGTACAGCTGGAAACCCCAAGGTCACAGTGGGAAACGCCTCCAAAGATGGTAGAGAATGATCGAGCCAAGATCCTGTGGGACTTCCAGATACAGACGGACCGAATGGTGATGGCAAACCAACCGGACGCTGTGGTGGTGGACAAAACGCAGAGGAAAGCTGTTGTGGTTGCCATAGCGATACCAAGTGACTGCAACATCAGGAAAGAGGAACATGAGAAACTGGAGAAATACCAGCGGTTCAGAGAAGAGCAGGAGAAAACCTGGAAGGTCAAGGCATCAGAGGTACCAGTGGTCATTGGGGCCCTCGGGACAGGGGCCCCCAAACTGGAGGAGTTACAGCAGATCCCTGGAAATGCGTCAGATATCTCGGTCCAAAATACTGCAGTTCTAGGACCAGGATATATATATATATATGAATAACTCTCCCCCCCTTTTTTTCCCTCCGAGTGTGGGTTCTCCTTCTCAAACAATGTTCACTTTCACTGGTTGAGTAGCGAACAGCCGGTTTACCCGTCTGGCTTCATTGTCTCCTGTGTATCTCTTTAGGCGGCTGGCCGGGGCTTGGAGCCTTTGTTTGGAACTTTCCAGTGCTTCAGGTATGGGCATCTGGCTGTACCTGTTGGGTACTTGCTTTTTCATTGCACCTCTTAGAGCCTCGGTTAATTGACTCACTTCTTTCCTTGTTGCCTTGATATTATCCTCCAGCCTTCTTTTCCATGGTGGGTATTTCATCACATGGTTGTTCTTACAGCCAAGCATCTCTAGGATCAGGTGGTGGGGAACCAGATATCAGATCGGCTACTGGAACAACACGAAGGAAAAGGACAAGATGCGAGAACAGGGCTCTCTCTCTCTATGATAAGCAATTGTTTATGTATTTATCCTTTTTTTAATAAAGAAGGGAGAGTGATAAGCTGTGCTCCCCTCTTTATTTTTTTAATTTTCATTTTTTTTTTTGGCTCAAATAGGATCATTATATTACAGGGCAAAGCTGGCTGGTTTGTGATTATCAGATTGTATTTCAGTTTTTGCATACTTAGTATAGTTAGACTGTCCTGAACCCTGAGAATATCTCAGTCGAAGCTGTAAATGCCCCCTTGCAGAAAATCCCGTTGGGTTTTTTCATCCTTATTCACTCTCAATGAGCGCTAAGCAACAGGATCTCTTATGACGTTTTAGTCCGATTTATTGTTACAGTTTTGTTATAACAATTACCTTTTGGCTTTAGTCATATTGATATATGGTCAGCGTTTTCATCTGCTATATCTGAGGGTCAGAGTGGCTCCATTTAGTTTACCTAATATTTTAAACTATGAACCATCATCCTTTTT